AATTTAGCTACTCATGATCGAATAATCGACACAATCATCCATAATCGAAACGAATAAATCCATAGATTAGATATAACGAAAAACTTACGATTAATGGAAATTGGATGTTAATCCGGTAAACAAGATTAATCCGAGAGAAATAGCAACATTCGAAATCCGATCCGTGTTCTACATGCAAAATAAATAAAGGAAAAGAAAAAAAAAGAGTTGGGAAAGAAGAAAAAGGAACCAGCTCCCAAAATATGTCAAAACCTAGGCTGCTGAATCTGTTTCGTCGATCACAAAATCTGCAACTTAAAAGAACTGATCTCGCGCGCCTCGCGGCCGCGGAGGAGCTCACGGGCCGCGGTGAATGATGGTCCCGCGGCCGCGACCCATCCCGAGGCCGCGGTTTTTCTGCTCTGAAGATCTGGGAGCTTGGGCCCGATTGAACGCCGCGGCCGCGGTGAAGAAGAAGCTCGCGGGCCGCGGCTATGAAACCTGGTAGCAGACGCGATGGGAGAAAGGTAGCGCGGCGCGGCGTGGAGCTTGTCTCGCGCGCGACGGGGTGTGGTTCCGCGGCGTGGAGGGGAGAGATACCGCGGAGTGGTGCTCTGCCGCGGCGCGGCAGAGAGTGGTGGCGCGCCGCGATGGTTCTCCGCGGCGTGAAGGAGGCGGTGAGTTTTTGACTGCTGCGGGGAATGTGCAACGCTGTGGAGTGAAACTGCTGTCGGAGGTGAGTGCAGCGCCGTGAAGCTGGAGCTGGTGAGTTATGTCGTGGCGGATAAAGTGCAGCTGCGTGTAGGTGGAGCAGCCAGAAGAGAACTTGCAGCGGCGGTGTTTTCTCGTGGCGGCTGGAATGACTTCGGCCGATTGGGCATCGTGCTCGACTTTGCGTGTGTTCGTCCGACTTCCGATACCTGCTTTTAGTGCTCATTTGCAAATCGGTGAACTCATGATTGTCGTCTACTGCTCGTAATCTGTTCCCCTTTTTAATTTGAAGTCGGCCCAAGTACCCAACCTGCACATCACTAGACGAAACAAAAACGGAGAAAGCGAAGAAAATAATCGAAAGAAAACACAAAGACTCTAAAATAGAAGAAAACACACAAAAAGAAATAAAGCGGACTAAAACGATCACGAAAAACATAAAATGGGGGAAAAGGACAAGGAAAATAAACAAGAAAAATGCAATAAAAATGGGACAAACACTACTAACCGGGCTTTATTCCTAGCAACTGTCCCATCAGGGCTGGTTTTCACTTTGAATACCCATTTGCAGCCTATAATCTTTCTATCTGTGGGAGCTGGTACTAGTTTCCAAGTGTTGTTGAGTTGTAGTGCTTCAAATACAACTTTCATAGCCTTGTGCCATTTTGGTGAAGAGATAGGTTGATGGACTGAGGTAGGCTCCACTGAATCATCCAAGACAGCAGCATATGATTTGGGTTTAAAAATGCCTGCTTTGGATCTTGTCACCATGTGGTGTGTACCTACTCTTTCAGATGTGTCATGAACAACATGAGGAGAAATATCAGAGATATTGTTAGAACCAGTAGGCTGCACAATAGGTAAATCAATGATAATTTGTCCTATGGGAATAGAAGAAGACTGAGGACTGTTGGAATTAGAGTGAGAAGCTGTAGTGGAGTTAAGAGAATGATTAGGTGTTTGTGGAAGATTGTGATGAGATGGTGAGGGAATACTTTGTTGATGTGGAGATGGAGGGTTATTTCCAATGGGTGATGGAGTGGTTTCAGTTCCGTGTAAGATGGTTGAACAAAAGATTTTGGATGGATAATGTTGGTGTCTGTGTGGGTTGGTTGGGTGTTGGTTTATGTGAAGGGAAAAATGGACTCATCAAATAACACATGCCTAGTAATAATAATCTTTTTGGAAGGCAAAAGAACCTTATAGCCTTTATGAGAAGGACTATAACCCAGAAAAGTGGAAGGTAAACTTCTTGGTTGCAGTTTGTGATGATTATTAGGTTTTAGTAAGGGAAAACAAAGACAACCAAAAACTTTGAGATCATCATAGGAGGGATGTGTGCCTGTGAGAAGATGAAAAAGAGTTCTTAACCAAAGTGTTTTCTAAGGAGTTCTATTAGTTAGGAAGACACCACTAGAAAATGCTTCATCCCAGTAGGAAAGAGGGACATTAGATTGATATAAAAAGGATAATCCTACTTGGACAATGTGCCTATGCTTTCTTTCAGCTAGGCCATTTTGTCTTGGGGTGTATGGACAAGAAACTCTAGAATTTATCCCAAGATATGCAAGAACAAGTTTAAGAGATTGAAACTCACCTCCACCATCACATTGAAAATGTTTAATAGTGCTGGGGAATTGGTTTTTAATGAGTGAAATGAGGTGCAGAAATGCATTTTTGGTGTCAGACTTGTTCTTTAGAAGGTAGAACCAAACAAACCTTGTTGATTGGTCTATGAAACTCACATAATACTTGTACCCTCTGTGAGAAGTAATGGGTGCTGGTCCCCAAAGGTCTGAATGTATGACCTCAAATGGTTTATATGCATATAATGTAGATTATGAAAAAGGTAACTTATGAAACTTTGACTGCATACACACATTGCAAAATAAGGTTCTTTTATTATCAAGGAATGGCACATTACATTGCTGCAATGCAGCTTTTACAATGTCATAAGAGGGGTGACCCAATCTATTGTTCCATATTTCTAAAGAAAAAGGGTTCTTCAGAACTGCTGCATTGCAACTTGATTGAAATGAAGTTGAAACTGGTTCAGTTGGTTGTTGGAAGAACTGAGGTGAATTGGTTGAATCATTGGTGAGCTCAAAACAGTAAAGGCCATCTTTAATAGTT